AAACTGTTTCATATCATTTGTATCTGAACACAGTGATGAGGCAGAAATGTAAAAAAGTAGGAAACCATTTGCTAGCCAGACATGGCATTACAAATTACTACACACATCAGAATTGGGTTCAAAAATTGGGTTGGAAAATGAGCCCAGTCATCAAAATACAAAAGCACCACATTTCATGGTAATAACTACACCTGTAATTATACTACATTTTTGACCTGTTTGGTGTAATAATCTTTCAAATGGCGTTGCACTGAATATACAATAAAATAAACTTTCCTCACATTTGAAATGACAGACAATACTCCAACGTATCTGTTTTTAAACATCAAAAAAGGTATTTAAATCATGATATACTGTACATAAAATGGCACTATTAAACATATCAGACTGGCCATATCTCAGGCATGTTTTATGGAGTATTTGCCTTTCTGAAGCTGTGAGATGTAGAGTTTTGACTTGCTCCCATCGACTCGTTTGAACCAGACTTCATCATGATTGATTGTAGTTATTATAGCGCTGTTTGAAACAGAAGACAGAGGGAAAATAACTGACAAATGTGCTGCGAAATAATCAATATGAGCTTGGTAATTCAGGATCCCTCACCTCGTAGGATACTCGTCTTTCTTGTCGATACATATGGCTTGTCCACGGCTGTAACATTCCCCGTCGTAAAACAAGCGTCCATCCTCGGAGCGAGCATTGTGCTGGTGTTTGTCACTCTTTGAAGAGCCTAGAGCAAATTATGCAAGTTCTGCTGTTACTAATATAACAAAAAAACAACTTAAACATTACATAATAAACAACCTATAGGATAAACCAATATAGCTGCAGCAACTACACAAACATGATGGGTCTATATTTAACTGGCATTTGTTAATAGGTTACCACTTAAGAGTTAAATGGGGTCATTATGCACCAAAACTCCAGGAAGTTAACCAGAGCAAAAGGGACTTTGAAGTATTTGTTCAAGGTCACTATAGGGAAATTCTACAACAGTTTACTTTTTGGTTTAGTAATGAATACTTCTTTTAACCAAAAGTGACAGTAAAGACATTTATAATGTTACAAATGTTTTCCATTTCAAATAAATGCTGATTTTGTTAACTTGTTTAAAGAATCCTAAAAATTCACAATTTCTACCAAAATATTAAAGGGGTCATATGATGCGATTTCAAGCTTTCCTTTCT